ATTAAAAATTTGATCATAGTAAAATTACATAGTGACCTTACATAGGTTTGATTAAATAGGCCGTGTGACACCCTAACGTAATACGTATAAAAAGCATAAATTATCACATCGCTTGAAAAATAATGAATAGCTTCTTCTAAATGTACATAATTTATGTAGCAACAGAACATTATATATCACTAGTTTTTTAGGTGTTGAATGATTAAAACATCGATAATATTATGTGTAGAATTTCGTTAATAGGTTCGAAGAATGGACAGGGAGGTTGCTTTTTTTAACACCTGTTTATCTTAACGAAAGTTAATACCTTTGCAGGGCATTATCCTTTCCATTTCATCTTATTGATATTAGGTATAAAAGCACAAAATTCGAATGCACATTTTCATTAGTTGGTATTTTATTGAATCTCATTGGTTAGCTTTAATCACATGATTAATGGTGTTTTTTGATGTGTTAGCTTGTTTAATTTCGGGGGACGTTAACCAACTAATCAATAGTTTTACTTTATTTGATTTTGACTTTTAGAATAATTTTCTCATATTGTACTCCAAAGTAGTGAAGATTTATAGATTTACATTATTAAATATGAAGATGCTTAACGTTACTTAAACAGTAAATGTGAGTTATATGAAATGAATGATGCGTAATTCAGTAATTAATTAAGCTACTTTATTATGTAATTATAGTATAAATAAATGATGTACTGTACATACGTAGGTCATTAATTGATCGGTAAAAATTAAAAAATGCAACATATCTATTCGGAAAATCAATAATGACGCATAACAAATACATCTGCTTAATTAAATTTAAACTTTTTTCTACAGGCAGACGAAATAATTAACCTCTATAATGATTTCGAAATTAAATGCTCAACGGCTTAAAATTTCTTAAAGTTGCACTCAGATATTAGCGTAATACGAATGAAGTGATTTAGTGTAGTTTAATTTGATCACGTGAAATAATTTCCACATACTGTATATTATTTCGTTTCGTTTTTCCTCAACGTGAAAACAGAGCATGCTTCGTTACTTTGCTAAAAAGTCGGTTTGGATTAGCAAGATAACCCATTTCATTAATTTAAACATAATATATATAATTAATATATTATCAAATCGTAGAACACAAATTTATAAGCTGAGAATTTACTTTTAAATATTCAATACCCATAATGTTATACATGAGCGAGAACACAATTTATTATATTTTAAAATAAATAAAAATAAATAAATGATCCTACATAGAACCGTTGGTATTCTATTCTATCAGATATCGTTATCACAGGTATAAAGGAAAAGGTAATTACCAGAGCACCTTTCCTTTAAAAAATACCAGTAACAATTTTTGATACCTTAAATAATAAAAATAACTACTATAGTAAATTCAAAACCATTTTCGTTTGAATTTGATCCGATAATGACACAAAGGATCCATTTTCAATAAACTAAACAGTATCTATGATAAATTTGAATCAACTTGTGACAATTAAAAAGTGGACATGTTTTTTAAAGGACAACAAAAATATCAATGACCAAGAAATATTATTGCTATCATTGAGTTATCGTTAATCAATAAACCCAATAGATGGAAAAAACAAAAGTATATACACTTAGCGATTATTCCCTAACAAGATCTTTTCATTATGTTTGGGGCAAATAAGTATAAAACTACTACTAAAGCATAATTTGCATAAACAAAATTATACTTCTAGCTTCACATATACCCCTTCAAAACTTCAACATCCAATTTAGGGTCAATTTTTCCGGTATAAAAGTAATATAGAATTCGTTTAAAAGTCTTGTAATCGACATCATCAATACGAATTGACTTCACATCGGAATTTTGTAATTGTTTCAAATCTTCGTTATTCATCTAACGATTACGATTAGTTAAAGTAACGAAATAAGAAGTCACTATTTCATTTTATGACGTTAGAATAATTATGAAGATCTACCTTCTCGATGTCATATAAACTATCGTAATCGGACTTTTTATTGACAGGATTCCAACCGTTTTTACGCAATTCGATCAGATCCTATTTAAAAAAAATAAATGAAAAAATAATTGTAAAATAATTGTAAAATAATTGTAATTGTGAATAAACAAACAATAAATTATAAATTATATAATAATAAGAAAATTTACCATTAACATAACACATAGATGTTTATTCAATTGTGTATGTTGCGCGAAGAAAGCCATTCTTTCAAAATACGTGTCCATATGAGAACGGGCTTTTTCATGATCCATAAGTTTACCGGCCGTTTTTAATAATTCATACAAAAAATCAATTCTTTGATCGATAAATGGACTTTGTGCTTTGTTTAAACAATGTTTAACGCATTTATGTATCATTGATTCAGTAATAACATTTCTTTTAAATAATTCAGCAAAGAATCGAGCGAGACCTAACCATCGTTTTCTTTCTCTAATGGCTAAAAAGTAATCATTTTCTTCACGTTCTTCACGTTTAATGTATAAATCAGCTGCACAACCTTTTTCTAATTCAATTTGACATTTTGTATATAAATATTTTAAAAACAAATTACGACCTTTTGCAACGTAACCATCTGGCATTTTAATATATTTATCAATAATATCTTGATCCATTCCATCCATTAAATTTTTACAAAGGTGTGCATATAGATCACTAAAATTTCGACATTGACACGCATAATCAAATATAATATATATAACAGTTCTTAAAGTGTGACCATCTTTTTCTTCCTTTGATCTATTAACAATAGAAATAATTTGATTGGTCACAATTTCCATATTATCCCAAATTAATCTATTTAATAATCCGGTTAATAGACGTCGAAGTTTATAAATTTGTTTTTTATCATCACTATTTTGTTGTTGTTGTTGTTGTTGATATTCTTCAGCAATTAATGGTTTATTTCCATCAAACATTTTTTCAAAATATTTGGAACGAGTTGAAAGGATTACTTTATGAGCTCTAAGTTTACCACCACATTCGAAATGAAATTCAACATCACAAAATCTATCATTATATAAAAAAGGTTCGAATGGAGTTGCATCGTTAATTGGTGAACCCAATAAAGTCATTTTAATTGTTAATTCAGAATCATAATAATTTGAATAATTTGGGATAATTGATTCAGTTCGACAAAATTTAGCCAATCCATAAGAATTTTGACCATTTTTTTCAACATTATCAACGGTAAGATGAGCTAATTTAAGAGGGAGAGTGTTCGGGGATCGGAATATTTCCATTTTTAAAATTTCATAATTTTGAAAAATTCCTTGTGGAGAATTTTTTCCTGATCTTGGCGTAGCTTGTAAGTAAAGAGCGACGAAACCAGCTGGGTGACATTGCCAATTTCCATTAGGAAATAGTCTGATTCTACAATCATAACTTTCCTTTGTAATTTCATCTTCTAAAATAAAATTGCCACTTGTTAAAAATCTTCCTCTAGGGTAAAGGTCAATTAATCTTTTAAAATCCTTGATAGTCCAACTAATAGACCAAGTGGGGGTAATACATTTTTGGACCAACACCTGGTCCTGGTCATCATTTAAACTAATGTCTTGATCCTGCCGTCCTTTTCTATCGGTACTGTAAATTTTCGAACAGCTTGATTTGGCGGCCATCAATAATAATAGAAAAAAAAAAAATTTTAAAATTTTTTTTATTTCTTTGATAAACCGATTTACTTGGATGGACAAGTTTCTATTCCTCTGACCAGGAACTAGGAAAATTGTAGGAATCCTTTCGTTTGCTTATTTTTTTTTATTAACTGCGTAACAACGTTTCAGGAAGAACAAGAAAACAAAGCCATGAGAAATTGACAAAATTATATAAAAATTATTAAATGATCAACATGACTTCATTTTGCATTAAGATTGTTTGGTAACATCATTTATGGTCACAAGAACATTGTTTTTTCGTCAGGAAATTTCTGGATCCTTCTAATAATGCATTATTTTTATGCAAAAACAAATTGTATTAACACGTGGCTTTATTTTATAAAAGCAACGCATGGATGTATATAATTACTAAATTAAGTTTTATCTGTACAATTTTCACATATCCACGTGATTTAATCTTTTATACCCTTGTCCTTTCTAGATTTTTACGCTAAACTAAATATTAATGCGTGTTTCAAATAATAAACTTTGTGTAATTTTTCATTTTCCCAAATCCATACATATACTTTATATGCTAAACAAAAGTATTTGAATTGGTTTTTTTGCGTAACAATAAAGATTAACGTTACGTTAACGTTAAACGTTAATGGTATTAACTGACAATATATACAGTATATAAAGTACACGCAAAGGTCGTAAAAGTCATACACGTAACAGTAATAATTGATAATAAAATCCGTCCGAAATCCGTTTAAATTTAATATGAAAACGGGTAACGGACCTAAGCCATATACGTAAAGGTCATACACATGTAGGTCATACATATATAGGGTGTTTGAAAATAAATAATATCAGGTGCGTACATACGTAATCGATGCTTAAAATTTGATCTAAGCCTGATTAACATTGAAACGATTTTTCAATAATTTTTCTTTTATTAAATAAGAGTTTTGAAAAATCTTATTTGTTTTTCAAAGATTTTAAAATCGGAAAATGAAATGAATGTAGAGATAGATCCCCATTTCATGAAATCGGAAAATTTTTATAATACTTTCTTTCGTTCAAATTACTGAATTGAAGATCGGATCACTTATTTCGAAATAAATACGTCATCGATTTCAATTTAAAATATAAAATGTCTAATTCAAAATCTTTAATCAGTAATTATTTTTTAGGTTACCAGTAATATAAAATTGTTTCTCATTTTTGTGTATACGCGGTTTTAGGAAACTAAATTGTTTGTTTTTTTAAACTCGTGCATTATTAGAACTTTTTTTCACAGCTGTTTTCATAAATTCTGGGACACCTGGTAAAAATTAATGAATAGTTTTTCGGCCGATTCGGTTAAGGTTGTAATTTCGGCATAATCAGTAAATAAAAGCTGTTTTTGTATCACATGTAACACTTATTCTACAGAGCGTTAGAACGTTAGCATATTAAATTTTCGCCTGAATGCTTATCCAACATGTTTTGATGTACAAAAATGGAAAGACAGCTTTTGTCAACCAATAAACTTAGCAAGAAAGATTAGACTTTTATAATAAACATATTACTCAAATACTAAAAAAGATGATATATATATTGTACGTGAAATTCGGATGAGCATGAATTTGAAATTGAGTTGCGTCAGATCAATTTTTCTACTATGCGTCATGGCTAAGGTTAACAATTAGGTGGCCGGATTTTGTATTGCCGGTAATTTCTAAATTAAGGTTAGATTTTCATATTC